AGAGTATAATCTAGTAATAGTGTGCATGTTAACCTGAACCACATGTTTATTTGAAATTCATTGTGGATTTGTTGCGTTTCTTTCCTGTAGACAAACGGCTTCTAGCTAAAAAATATATATTTTGGACTTATTTGCATTTTTTCAAAGAGCATAATTTAAAAAAACGGTGGCATAATTTGGAAAAAAGAGCATAATGTTAGCATAATTTGGCCAAAAGAAAAAGCAATGCTACTAGCATAATATGCCACTTTTACTAGCATAATCTATAAATGCCTAGTCCTCCCCATAGTCTTCTAACACCAACTCTTCACACATACTAAGGTACCCCGGGTATGAGGATATTTGTAAAAATCCACTGAAAACAGTGAAGATGGACAGTATCGACGATCTAGTCAAGTCGATGAGTTTACCAGAGCTTGGGCCACCTGTGAGTGAAGGGTTGATCATTGACATCATTGGGTTGTTCAAATGGAGCCAAATAAAATGGTCATGTGATACTTATGACTGTTCTTAAAATCGTTTTTGTTTTCAACCAATCGTAACTGTGCAATCTGTAATATATAGTCCACAATGCAAGTTTTTAAAATTTTATTGCGTCTGTTTTTCATGTTTTTCAAATCGTCCGCTATGCCTTTATACAGTGAATAACTTCAGTTTTCGGGAGTAAGTCATTATTTCATTAGTGCGATTCCACGCTAAATACCCTCTCTTCCGGTTGACGTATTGACCAATCAGAGCGCGTGTTTACCTTAAGCTATGCGATTCTTATGCAAATCTCTTTGAGACCGTATGGATAGTTCGAGAAGTAGACGGCAACCACATTAAATTATCTCGCCTAGTGAGAGTATATATCTAGAAATGGAAAAATGGAGTCTTTGAAGAATTCCTGTGGGCTGCCATGTTCGTACAAGTTTTCTCGGTAACCACATGGTTCCAGTATTTTCGTGAGTAGTGGCGTGATAGTCAGATAATCTGCCAATCAATCAGTATTAAAAAATAAAAGACCAAGTTTTGAGTGACTTTTTTTAATTCAAGGCCTTTACTTCGTGTTTCATCTACATCTACAAATTGCAGGGGCTTTATTTTGGAAATCAACAAACGTTCGTTGAATTTAATGAAATTCAAAATTAGTTGTCCATTTGACGCACTTTCAAGGTTGACTTGTCGTGGGATACTCATGGACTGGTTGATCGAAGACACTGAGCTCACCAGAAATCCTCTCACAACACTGGGCCTCAGAGCAGAAAAGACGGTCTTCAACACCTAACTGAAAATATCGTCAAGTCAAAGGGTAGGAACTCAAAGATCAATCCTAACCCTGACCACACGAGTTCTACGGTTGACACTGACCAGTAACATAGATACATACAATGCAAACAAGCGAGTTCATGCTGGTTAAAATTTCCCAGGTTTTCTCTTCCAGTTGTACTCTACTTAGTGCATTTGGATAAAAAAAATTCCCTTATATACTCGAATGTACCCGTTTGTTACTCGTATGTCAGTCGTAGTAGTCGTGTGGTGTTTTATTCAGGCGAACTCAACAATATTTATCAAATTCTTCTCCATGTGAACCAAATATTTCACTTGAGAATTTTTTTCTTAGGCTTATTGGGGGGTCCGACGTCGCAACTCTTCTCCGATAACTCCTCTGAGTAATCATCTTTGAACTTGAAAATCAAACCTTTAGATGTTGCACAATTTCCTTAACAATCTCTTCAACTGATAAAGAAGTAAACGTGCAACCGCGGAGTCAAACGTTTTATTCATCGCACGGATTCCAGTCACGCATCAAAACAATCTTACTTTCTCAATCTATTTTAATCAGGGGTCGGTTCTTTATGAAGAGCAGATGAATATTTCTGCTTGTTGTAAGCACAATCAACCACGATAAAGCCGAAGGTTAATGTTCCACAAGGTTTTCATGAAAGATATTGCGCAGGCAGAGAGAGCTGATCGATAGTCAGGAGCTCGCTCGCTCGCTAATGCTGTCCAAAATCAAAACAATATAAAGGTGTATAAATAACCGGCCCAACACATTTCAAAATGTGTTGGGCCGGTTATTTCAACAAAGTTTACCCATTGTTGAACGAAACCGCGTTCTAAACTATCTTCAAGTGAGCTAAATATTTTATCTCGACGTTTATTTTTGTGATTAGTGACAAGAGAGCCGAAAGCTAGCAGCGGAAAGACATTTGCCTCTTTAAAGCAGCCCTCTTCCAGAGAAAGCCTGCATGAGGCCCGGCGGTTGCGTAAAACCGCAGTTTGGGTTAGACTTCGTGTAGAGAACCAAGTCCAAAACTGCATTTAGTGCACGACTGATTCCGTCGACACAAACCAACATAATTCTTAGAATCGCTTGGCATTTCTAAACAAACATCAACTATACTCAATTGCCTCGTATGAAGTTTCCGGTGGCCTTTTCGGTGAAATTTTTGACTGCACAAGCTTGGAGAATTTGTCCACTGAATAAACAAGTTTATTTACAATCGCTTGACATTTCTAGACAAACATCTGATATTCCTAAGAAGTTTGAAAGAACCTTTCAGTGGATATTCGGTGAAAATTTTTGACTGCCGGTCATTTAGTCTATTTGAACAGTGGACTTTTTGAGAAGAATACGCCATTTAAAAACTACTCTAATCGCCATGTCAATCCATTCAATGAGGCATTTGCCTTCATAATTTAGAAACCAATTTTGCGAGGGCAACTAAAGTGATTTGAGATACAGTGAAAATGATTTATAATTTGTTTACCGGCTTAACATAGCTTGAAAATGCTGGCTAGCGGGAAAAACAACTTAGGCCCAGTTCAGACGTCCTGCTTCTGCCGTGCTAAAGTCAAATTTAAATGCAATAAAGGGGTAAGTTTCTAAAGAAACTGTGGTGCTGCGTCGGTGGGTGTAGCAAGGTAACATCAAATAATTAAGTTGAAATTGTAGATTGGCCATCGTAAAGAATTAAAAAGCTGACGTTTCGAGCGTTAATCCTTCGTCAGAGCGAATGGAGGAATTGTGGGCCTGTGTGTGGGTTTATATGCAGAAAGTGGTGCTACGCTATCGGTGAGAACATGGCGACGAGAAAAACACGAATAAATTAGTGGAATGAAAAGCGTTCGTTGATGCCTGTGGGAAAGACTGCAGATTGCCATATGTTGCTTAGAATGATTAGTTAGATTAAGGTGTCTAGGGGCTGGTTTTGATGCGTCCTTGTCATTCCTTTCTACGTCGTGAAGCTGTTCTCGGAATCGGTCACCTAGTCGTCTTTCTGTTTCGCCGATGTATATCTTTTTGCAGTAAGTGCAAGTTATGCAATATATGACGTTGGCTGAGGTGCACGCGAAGTGATTAGTGACCTTAATGGTCGTTTGGGTCCCGAAGTTTTTTCAGCGTTTTGAATGAAAGGACAAGTTTTGCATCGTGTACGAGCGCATTTAAAAGTGCCGGGTTGGTCATTAGTTTGTAATGAACTTCTGACTAAAAATGTTTTTATCGCGTTCGAATGAAATGAGTAGAGGTTACAAAAAGATAGTTTAATAATCGTATTCGAAACTCCGTTAATCTTATTCTATATGTAGTAATCACTCATACATCAATTCGCTCGATCAAAAAACATTGTTTCTTAAAAACGAAATCAGAATATTACATATCAAAAACGCACGTGATCAAACCAGTTACACAAGAATATGTCGAACAAAACGCATTGTCCAATGTCACTGATTAACTTAGTTATAAAACAATGTGAACGATTTCTACAAATAGTGCCAGTCTCAGGATCGTTTAGAAGTAATTTAAAGTTTTTAAGAATAATGGATTTAACTGAGTGTTTGCGAGAGTGAAATGTGAGAGTAAATGGCATGCGGTCGGAATTTTCCTTCTGTGACGTTTGTAGTGCTGACTGTCGATCAATAAGTTGGGTGCGGTGGTGACTCGCTTGAATGACATAAACAAGGTAACCACGTTTTCCGAAAAACTGGTACATAGACTCTGGTTTGTGAAAAAAAAATCAGAGTCATCACTACATAAACGACGAAGTCCAGTAGAAACTGAGAAAAGGGAATGGAATTCTTGACATGAGATGGGTGCGAAGATGAATACAACAAGTAACTATGTGAGTCTGTAGGTTTGTAATACACACTAGTACATAAACCGTTGCCTTCAGTTGAAACTTTGATGTCTAAAACCCATAAATAATTGTTGGAAATTTCCCGGCCGGTATATTTTAGAGCCGGGTGAAAGGAATTGACTGCGATTATGAATTGAATTAACTCCTCTCTTGTGATGAGTTTTTTTTGCAGTGGCCGGCAATTCCGCCATGAGTTCGTTAATCGTATTTTTGACGGTGTTTTGTTTAATGGAAGTGAGATCTATGTCAACCTTTTGATAACACAGCAATAGCACGGCAGGAGCACGACTCTGAGTTTACAGACATTCAGGATTTCTTGAAGCAAAGTTATTATTCATTCTCGTAACTCAGTCCCACGCTAACGCAATCCCGCCAAAATACTTCTATCTTAGTAGACGTTTCGTCGTGTAGTATCGGAGTATTTTTACTACTTTTCCCGTATTTTGACGAGCCAGGAGGGCGAGTCAGAATATTAAACAACAAGTGAAAATACTAATTAGCGATACTACACGAAAAAACGTCTAATAAGAGATTTATTATCCAACATGTACACGCCATATTTCTGGAGTACCAATATCGCGTGATATTCATACTCGTCTCGCCCGTTATTTGTACTCTATGAAACACAGTTGGATAATAAATTAGCATATTTTATGAATTTTGTTTGGGCCGCGGAGGCACGGTGATAGAATCGCTGTTGCGCGAGCTTTCGAGTTAACCGGCAATACTTGGCTTACCCAAACGCGATACAATTTATGGCCGCAAAAATGAATGAAGACTGAATTTGCTGACTTCAAATGGGGCCTCGCCAATTGCGGACCATTCTCTGGACTGGAAAATATTTTTTTGTCTATTTTAATGTCGTTATGTTTTAATGATGGTATTGTTTAAAAGAAGATTTTGATTTAAATTCAATATTTTCCACACAACGCTACGCAATTTTCTAGCCGATTCAAGTTTGGTGAATCTATCGCAAGGTCTCTTACAAGTTAAAAAATTCTGAATTTTCCCGGCGCCTCGTTGAAAATTATACAGTAATACATGAACCCATAGAAATTGGGTATATCCTTAGCTGTTTTATTTCACAAATTCATTCACTTTTTTTTAGCGGGGTCAGGATCCGGAGTAGAAGAATTAGTTTCATATATACATTATTGAGACTCCCTTCAACGAGGCTTTTCAGTCACCTTGTTAACCGTTTACATAATACTGGTAATTTAGAAAACTTATTGACAGTAATTTACTTAAAATCAAAATATATTCAAAATTATTTTGTATGACGCATATTTCTTAAAAATTACTGCTAAAGCTATTTTAAATTTCTTTAGTGTTCTTAATATCGTTAGTTAGCCCATTCCATTCCCCTGGACCCCGAAAGTAGAATGCCCTGACCCATTGACAATCAGCATCGGGTACCACAAAATTTTTACAGGCCTTGTGTTCTTTTTGCGAACTGCCGAACGTTTAACAACGTATTTGCCTAGATGATCTGAAGCTAAGCCATTCACACATTTGAATGCATGACTGATAAAACCTCCGTAACGTAACATCCAACTATCTAAGGGATCTCCGCCCCTGAGAGTTATGGTGAATCTTCATTAAACCTAATACAACGCTGGCAACAAAAGTTTGCACCAACTTTAGTTTGTGTAGATTGCGTTTAGATGTGTTCCCCCACATTGAGGAACAATAAAATAGTTCACTAAAGACAAAGCTATTTATAAGTAATAAAAGTGTTCTTGTCTAAAAGGTGTTTGATTCTACCCATCTGTACTAACTAGTTCATGTAACTAGAGGCTCCTGTGTACATCACAGGAAAGATATTGAGCAATAAAAAACCCCAATATAGCAAAGGAAACCGGTGAGATAGTTATGTCTACCAGGGATAAGTAGATATGAGGTTGCCTCTCAATAAGTTGTGCTGAGCCAACAACCACTAATTTTAATTTGTCTTCTCAGGGTTTATAAGTAGTGAATCTTTGCACACCCTTTACTTATGTTTCTAAGATCTTGGTTTAAGGCTGCCATAGCATGAGTCTGATACAGAAAATTTAAAGTGCAATTGACTATCATCAACAAAAGCAGCGGGTTGATTGTGGGTAACAACACTGATTAAATCATTAATATAAATGATAAAAAGCACAGGACCCAATATTGATCCCTAAGGTACCCCATTTATTAGAGGTAACAATTCTGACACTGAATCTTCGTACCGTACTCTTGATATCTACTGGATATTTGTTTTGTTTTATTTGTTTTAACGACTTTACCAGGTGTGACTCGACCCGGAAGGGTTAGTGCGAACGGAACACAAGGTCCATGCAAGGCACCACTAGAGGATAGGTGGTTAGTAAACCAGGAAATTACAGAAACGGCCCAGTTTTCGTAATTTTTCTAACAACGTATTATGATTAAGGTTGTTGAAAGCTTTTGATATGGTCAAGAAGTACTAGTAATGAGGCTGATTTAACATCACTTACTTTCAAAGTGTTGTCTGTAACATTTGTGAGGGCCGTTTCTGTCGAATGCATTTTCCTGTTGCCGCTTTGACAAGTCAATAACTTATCATGCGTTATCAAAAATTCCACAAACTGCTTATGAGCTAGTCTCTCACCTATTTTCGATACGATGAGTAACAATGAAATCGGCCCAGTTTTCCATGCTTTAGGAAAGGTAGCCAACCTGAACGAATTGTTCACGTGTCTAGAAATCACAGGCGTAATGCTCTCACAACTGTCTTTAAGGACTCGTGCAGATCCAAACAAAATCCAAAATTAAAATGGGGGCTTATTCTTTTTTGATTCTTCAACTAAACTTTTGAAAAGTATTGATGAATAAAATAAATTGAAACTAGTAATGAGGTCAGTATCAGGAAAAATCAAGTTTAAATTTTGTAACAGGAAGGAACGCTCAACCGAACTTCACTAGAAACGTTTCCACAATTAACACTTTCAGGGTTGTCAGGACATGAAGACAGTTAGATACCAGAAATTATCTATCGATGGCGATTCAGAAAGAGTCAGCTACTTCTCTTTTCTTTTCTTCCAATGGATGAACAACATCTTCAAGAAAGGCAGTGAAGGAACTTTAGAGGAGAGCGACTTTATGCCACTTTCAAGAGAACGTTCCACCGAGTTCTTCACCAATCGCCTGCAGCAAAACTGGATAGAAGAGAAAGCCGATAGAAAAGGCAATAAACAAAGACCACGACTTTGGAAAAGTGTCATTAAAATGATATCTTTGAAGGATGCAATGGTCATTGTACTCCTGTACGTGATATCCCTACTTTGGCGCCTTTCTAGGCCTTTGTTTCTTGGTTACCTTATTTATTCATTGATGAATGACGCCGAGCCTCAGAAAAGTCTTCCTCTGTATGGTTGTGTAATGGCTATGGGGATCTGTGCCTTTATTGGAGTGTCTGGTGTACATCACTTTTCCTATCAATGTGACCTTTACGGTATCGGAATCAGCAGTGCTCTGAAAGGGCTAATTTACCAAAAGGTATGCGATTTAGCTTTTTTGAATTTAAATGACACTTGGATTACTTACACAACAGCACACCACTTCCAACTTAACCAATCAACGACCTGTTTTGACTGGATCTATCGTCATCGTAAGTTAAAGAAGACAAAGTTTTATATGTTGGTTGCAACACATGGGGGGTCAAAAGACCAAAGTTATCCTGGACTTAATTAGTTAAAAAAGTTATGAACGGTGTCTTTCCCGTGACCATTTGTCACAAGCGTGAAGTAAGGACTTATTTGCACCGTAAACCGTCCAAATTTGCCGTCCTCTCTATACCACTACCAACTACTGAGAAATCGTCGATAAACCCTGCCGTAAGCTAATTCTATTAATTTTTGGTCTACCTTACTAATACGTTCTTCCTACCACAGTCGTTAAGTGTCAAAAATCGGAAGATTCTAAGTTGGATATTTCCTGCGCGACACAAATTAAACACATTGTCTTTGTTCCACGCTCCTTACAAAAGAACATCAGTTCTATTTTTTCTTTATTCTATCTGTTGATTCCTATTATCTAACCACTATAAGTCTGTCTAGTTGAACAAAATGTTGGTATCAATTTTTTTTTCAGATTCTAAGGCTCAACAAGACTGATATATTAAAATTTACAACGGGTCATGTGATTGACCTCGTTTCAAACGATGTTCAACGACTCGAAGATCATACTGTACTTTGGGGCTGTAGTGCTATTTTGGATTTCCTCCTACTCATACCTATCATAGTGGTGTTACTTATGTATTTCATTGGTTGGCAAGCTCTTATGGGTGTCACAAGCCTTTTTTTCCTGTTGCCATATTTCGCTGGCTTGTCATATGTATTTGCTGCGTTGCGCCTTAGGACAGCAACGTTTTCAGACAGGCGCATATCATTGTTAAACCAGGTTATTTCAGGGATTCGCGCCATCAAAACACATGCGTTGGAGGATGAATTTCGAGAGAAGATAAAACGCGTAAGGAGGTAAGGAAAGAAAACATCATAATTGATGTTAAATTGGTCAAGGTACCTGGTATCGAAACTGGTAATTGTCGCAGACAATTGCATGTTTGAAATAGCATACAGGTTTAATTAAATTATAGTAAAGGATGCCCTGTTATGTCATGACCTACGATGCAATGCAATGCTCTGCTGTTATGACATTATGTCTCTTTCTATATTCTTTTGCTTGTAGGGATGAAATAAATATCATCCGTAAGAAAAGCGTCGCCCTGTCGGCCGTTGCTGCCTTGGAGTTCACTGCAGTGCCGCTGGCGATGTTGGTTTCAATCATAACCTTGGTGCTTACCGGTCAGCCCCTTACACCGTTGAATGTGTTCATGCTCCTCTCTTTTATAAATGCAGCAAGACAAAGTGTCTGCTTTTACGTACCCTACGGTCTCTTAGGAGTATACGAAGCTTATTTTTCACTCAAGAGAATGGAGGATTTCTTTCTTTTAGAAGATTTACCCGAATCCTGTCATAATCATTCTATTGAGGGTACTTTGAACACGGCAGAGAGCATATCAAAATTTATTGAAACTGTTTCAAATCAACGGGACAGAACCGTTGCAGTTCCCTCTGCTGTAGTTCGTGATGAAGAAGATCTCCCACAGTTAGCCACCTTGGAAGTGTTCATTTTGGCGTCAAAAGAAAAAATTCATGATGACGACTTCATTTTGCAAGATGTGGAATTTTCCTTGGATTCACAAACTTTAACAGTCATCACGGGTCCAGTGGGTAGTGGAAAATCAACTCTTCTCTCGGCTATCGCAGGTGAGGTGTCAGTCGCAGCAGGAACAATAAACTGTCCGTTTTCCCTTGTTTACGTGCCCCAGATACCCTGGATCTACTCTGGAACAATAAGACAAAACATTTTATTTGGTCAAGTTTTCAACCAAGATAAGTACAACAGAATACTGGAAGCATGCTCTCTCACACACGACGTCCGGACATTTCCAAACGGTGACCAAACAGTAGTGGGTGAGCTAGGTGCTGTTCTGAGTGGGGGCCAGCGTGCAAGAGTAAGTTTAGCACGTGCGGTATACATGGATGCAGACCTGTACCTGTTGGATGACCCTCTGAGTGCCGTGGACATGAAAGTAAGTCAACATATCTTTCAAAAGTGCATTAAAGAATTACTAAGTACTAAAACTCGGGTGTTAACGTCTCACAAGGAACAACACATGAAAGAAGCTGATAGAGTTATTGTGTTGTTCAAAGGACGTGTGTTGGCAAACGGAACTTTTTCTGAGCTTCAGGAAAAGAGTTTATGTAATACAAATCTTGATGTGAGCTGCAAAAAACCCGTCTGGGACAAGATTTCGGAAGTGAGATTTGTTGCAGAGAGTGAAAATGAATCAGAGTTTAAGGAGAGAGCAATGATTCCACAACATCAAGTCAAGGACCTCGAAATATCAGAAGAAGACTGTACAATCGGAAGCGTGACACTTATGACTTATTGGGACTACTTCAGGAGTGGATTGCACACGTTGGCGATCGTTGGACTGGTCTGTTTGTTTTTTATTGCTCAAGGTAAGGTTGATAACTGATCTTATTCAATTCTCAAATATCTCCTTTGAAAGTAGGATTTCTTAATACCTGACATGGACTGATTTTTTATCGATATATATGTCATCGTGGCCAAGTTTATGATTAATAATTGTCTTTTTCATTCCCTATTCTCGCTGTAAGACATCTATGATGAGGTTAAAAATGGGATTCTCAGACACATTGTCATTAAGTGTTTTAACTAACACATAAAAAAAATATTCTTAGTACTGTTATCATTGAAAAAAACTATCAGGTTTCAAGACTCTGATTTTGCGAATCTAATGTGATTCTCAGATGGATGGCCTCGTGCCAAACTTTTAAACCGGTAGAAAACGCCTTCTGGGATCCCGTCGTATCATTTTCTCGAGGCTTGTGCCACTTGTGATCATCACATGGCCATTGACCGTTAGCGACACACCTTTTCTGGATACATATTAATTTTTTTCTCTGTGTATTTCAATTTCGTAGTAATGATAGTGTCTCCTGACGTTTGGCTCTCATTCTTAACAAAGAAGAGTAAAGAGGAACAGAAGGACAAATTCAACTTTATTTTCTATGGCTGTCTTGTACTTGGATCTCTCATTTTCTCCTCTATCCGGGCATATGCGTTTCTTAGGACTCTTGTAAGATGTTCTCAACGCCTTCATGATAAAATGGTTGTAGCAGTTGTAGAAGCACCGGTTTTGTTTTTTGATTCAAACCCTGTAGGGCGAATTCTCAATCGATTCTCTAAAGATGTGGGATACTTGGATGAGCTGTTACCCAAAACGTTTCTCACAGCTATACAGCTCACCTTGCTAATTTCTGCTTCAACTGTTGTGCCAACTTTCACAAATCCTTGGGTTCTTTTTGCTGTTGTACCACTGGCTATTATTGCCGTGTACATCTCCATGTACAGCCTTAAAACCTCTCGACAGCTGAAAAGGTTAGAGTCAATAAACCGTAGCCCCGTTTTTTCACACGTTTCGGAGACTCTCAATGGGCTGGAGACTATAAGAACAAGAAGGAGAGAACGAGAGTTTGTGGAGGATCTTTAGAGGTACATTCTGAATTCATTGTATTCATCAAGATCGGTTTTAGAGCGAGAGTCATAGCTTCCCTCTAACGACTACATAGGCTTCCTCAAATATACCCAAAGAAAGTAAGGGACTGTAAACGGAGGGTTAAATACGGCAAGTAGGAAGCATACTTACAGAAACTGGTCCTGGATAAGTACTAGCGTCAATGCCATTTACAGAAAATAGCAAATCTTGAATTTTCGTTCAATAGAATTGGGAGATGTCGATGAGCTGTCTTTTTCTCACTATCTGCCGTCTTTTTTACGAACTCTGAAGTGGCATCAGATTTATCAGAAATGAAGAGTGAACTGAGGAAAAAAAAAAAGAAAACAAGGAAACAAAACAAAACAAGGAAACATACAAGCATAGAGAATTAGAATGTTTTGAGATGTACTAACGACATATTTTTCCTAATAGAAAGTGTTTCCTCTCTTCATTCAGATATCAGGATGTTCATACCCAGTCGTACATGATGGTGCTGGCGAGCGAGAGATGGCTTGGTATACGCATGACTTTTCTCATCTCTTTTTTGATTTTTACCGTAGCTTTAGCTGCGATCTTGGTTTCTCAAGATGCTGGTAGGTGTCTCTTAGCTGCGATGAAAACTATACTCAAGAGACCATTTTATTTTATTACATATAAGTGCCAGTTTCCTTAACCCTTCGATGTTAATCAAAATTTTTATCTGAGGCTAATTGATATGAAACTCTTGGTCTAGTTACACAAGGCTCCATCGAGTTCACATTTTGATGGTTAAGTGAAGCTGGACCAGACATTTCCATCATTTTCGCGTAAAATAACATGCACTTAATATGTGCCATTTCTTGTCCTTTTCTCTCTTTTCGCAAGACGTATGGAGTAAATTAAACCATTTATTCTTCTTTCAAAGGGTATCTTCCCCTTAAATAAAAATATCCTGAGTAATGCTCTAACTTAGAAAATGTCCTTTCTCCCTAGAGGAAATTGCGCTAATTGTTCAAATATATGTCGAAACTACCTGCCTTGCTCCTCCCTGAGCTACAGTCCGCTTGCTTCAGTTGCTGTATCTTAGACAGTCTTGTACGTCCATAAAACGTCCATCAAATTGGCCTCCAACGGATTTGATAAAACTCTCTTCTTCACACAGAACGAGAAACAATCTGATGCCGACCGCCTATAGCGCTCACTCCAGAACCGTCCATCCCTATTTTTATTCCCTTCATAATTTTCATTTCATTCTTTTTTTCGTTTTATTGCTTTTTCTACCTCAGTAAATTGATTAAGCTTCGTAAGACTGTCAAACCAGAAAAAGGCTGACAATTAACGAATGTATTTTACCGATAGCTTTCGCAGGACTGGGGCTTGTTTACATCATCGAATCCGCGGAGCAAATGGATTTTTCTGTTAGAAAAATGGCTGAAGTAGAAAATTGCATGACGTCTGCTGAACGAGTTATGACATACACCAAACTTGACCACGAGCCGGGGTACCAAGTGAAGCAACCTCCTCCGAAACACTGGCCTCTTGAAGGGAATATCACATTTCAAGACGTGTCGTTGACGTATTATCCGGGAGGACCTCAAGTATTGAAGAACTTTAACCTTCATGTAGAAGCAGGAACAAATGTTGGTGTTGTAGGACGAACGGGGGCCGGGAAATCATCTCTAGTGGCAGCTCTCCTACGCATGCCAGATCCCCAAGGTGTTATAAAGATCGATGACGTTCTAGTAAAGGACATTAATCTTCAAGAAGCTCGAAGATGTGTATCTGTTCTTGGCCAAAGTCCAGTCCTTTTCAGCGGCTCACTGAGGGAAAATCTCGATCTCGTAGAACAGTTCCAAGATTTAGATATTTGGCGAGCCTTAGAGGATGTTCAGCTGAAGGAGCTGATCGAAAGTTTGGAAGGAAAACTAGATCACCAGCTGTTGGAACATGGTGCAAACCTCAGTGTTGGAGAACGGCAGTTGATTTGTTTGGCTCGTGTCCTTTTACATCAAAGAAAAATTGTCATCCTAGACGAGCCCACTGCACATGTGGATCCAGATACAGAACAAACAATTTGGAGGGTAGTGCGAGAGAAACTGAAGGACTCCACGGTAGTCACCATAGCGCATCGACTGAACACTATCAAAGACTGTGACATGATTTTGGTCATGAAAAATGGTGAGATGGCCGAGTTCAACAAGTTTGACTCTATAGTGAATGAATTAGTTGATAAATAGTTGAATGAAGAAACACAAAAGCGACGGAAACAGCGAGAGAAATTGTAACACTCTTCTAGAGTTTTCCAAAATTGCTTCCTTCCCTTAGCCCTTTACTCTAAATCTGTTCTCTAATAAGTTGGGTAGTCACCAACTATTATATCATGTTTCTTCAGGAGTATGTTCCTTTTAATTAATGGAAAGTTTCGTTATTGTTTACTTTCTAGCACACAATAACAGCCTTGCATAAAGGGCTAAATTACCTCCATTACTATATGATGACTTGCAATGCTACTATTGCTGATCTTGTTAAGCTTTCTTAACATTTTTTTCGTTCCAAAAGGGAATCGAGGAAATTTATTGGTAACTAGGTGCTGGTTTCTAACTTCCAAAAATGCTTGCAACACTCAAATTACCATAATATAACGTGAAACTGATTCTCACACAACTACAAAGCTAAGGCCCTGTTCGCACTGGGCAAATTTTTGGTTGTTTTGCGAAAAAATCTGTCACCAGTTCCTTGAGACAAGTGCGCCCGGTGATTTTTAGATCTACCAAATTTTGTCAAGGCTTACTAAACTTCAAAGGCGCCTTCGTCCTGCCTCAGAGCAGGACAAATTTTTTTCAGGCGTGAAATCTGACAGCTTTATCAATTTAAACGCCATGATTTGAAGGAAAATATCAATCAAGAAAATCTGATCTTATTTTTAGTCGGAGTATTTCAGTCCGAAGCCCGCCAAAATTGTTTCATATTTGTGCGGCAATCAAACCGTGAAGATGGATGATTCGTACCTCGGTATGCTGTTTACCTATCCTTACTCAGACTACAACTATTATGGTTCCCAAGTCTACGTACAAATCTGTCAGTGGTACTCTCGAACCAGTTGCAGTCGAACAAGGTGAAGCCTCCATTGACAGAGTAGGAAGTAGCAACTGCCTCTGCTGGAGTTGAACGAATTCAAGGAAGAAAAAAAAAACTAGAACACAAGCAATAACATGTCGAGGCAACATATTCTATGGAAGCGGTTAAAGATCACCATAAGCCCATGACTCCTAAGATCTCATGTAACCTTTCCCGCGAACAACGCGCGAGCGATGGTGTTTATTTCCGTGTGATTTACACTTGTGGTTAACCAATATTTTGCTGTGTCTCAGTGCGCCCGCGCTTGACAAATTGAAAATTTGGCAGAGACAAATTTTGTCGAGATTTTTGGAAGGGCCAAACAAATTTTGTCAGTCCAGTTCGTTCGGACCCCTACACTGAAAAAATTGGTTTGCTATTTGCCAAAAATTTGAAAATTGTGCAACAGCGAGTTTTTTGTTTCTGTAATAACGTTCGCACTTGAGACGTGCGAATTATTTGGCTATCCACAAATGTCAATCAATCGAAATAGATACCGAGACTTCGTGACAGTGCGTTTTCTTTTATATCGCTTCTGGTCAAGGACTTATCGCAAAGTAAAATGCCTCCGCGAAATTTTTTAATCGCCCTTTTTTGCTGTTTTCTTGCCATGCAAAACCTGATTGTGGCAAGTCTTTTCTGTTACTTTTGGTCTTGTTGGGAAGGATTCGGCTTTTACGGATCATGGAGACTATATAACTCAGTTTCTCAACAAACATCGACCTCGCAGTCGACCTGTAGAATTCTGGTTTGAAATCGTAACCTCCCTGAAGCCTTTTTCCGTAGACATTTGAGAATGAGGAGAGAGTCATTCGACAACTTTCTAACGCGACGTTCAATTACGAAATATGATGACCAGTTGAAGAGTAGCTGTCGAGGGACAATAGATTTTCTCGCCCGACAAAAACTTGTAGGCCTCCAAAACTAGTTGACAGCATCTTTGAAGTTTGATGGCTATTGCGAAAATTTTGGTGGGTCAAAAAAATCGTTCGCACTGACAATAGTTTCACTTTGACAGATTTTTTTTCCGCAAAAGAAAAAAAAATCTCGCGTACGGCGAACAAGCCCTAATGGCCTTCTGTCTCTCACACGAATCTAATTAAAACACTGGATCTTTTCACTTAAGGTTGCAAAGCTAATAAGCGAAAATTGCTTTGTTTGTTTGCTCGTAACATTTGTGACATCATATTTCCCGTGTTGGAAATTATTATCGCAACAGTCAATCAAAATTAAGTAGCTAATTTATTCAAAATTGATATCTATTATAGATTTACTCGAAAGAATCATTGAAGGTTAACTCACGTGCAGCAGGAGGAAATGTAAAATATAAAAAAATTAGGGGTTTCGACAAAAGCCTCGCTTGCAGGCGTCTTATATAAGGGCGAGTAACGTTAAGATCGAAGCACGATTTTTAACCAGCCATGTTTAATTTGGAGTTAGGGGAAGAAGACGCCGTAACATTCATTCCCCCACCCCAGCCCCACTAGGGGTATCGAATGGTCTTTGCGAGCAGTTTGTTTATTTTTGCGAACACGAGCAGTTGTCAAATTTTTCTTGCGAACATGCAAGCAGTGTGTTTATTTTTGCGAGCACGAGCAGTTGTCAAATTTTTCTTGCGAACATGCAAGCAGTGTGTTTATTTTTGCGAGCACGAGCAGTTGTCAAATTTTTCTTGCGAACAGCGAGCTCTTTAGAAAATACAGATGGCGAGCAGCGAGCACTTTGGAAAAATACAGATGGCGAGCAGCGAGCACTTCGAGTACTTCGTAAATTTTCTGTTAGCCGGAATCGCTCTTTTGTTAATAGGATACATTGTTTTCCACCAAGTAAAATAATAATCTAGTGAACACCTCCAAAACAGAACAATAAGTGCAAAGCCAGGGCGGTTCAACCAGTCCCAGCATCTTACAGCCAATTTGTGCCTTGCTCGATGCCAAATTATGTCGCGTAGCTTAACGTGAGTCAATCAGGGTGGACGCTCAAGAACTTCAAGAGCTCTAAAGGAGATGTACTAAATCCAAAGCCCGCGATCTAAAGTTTTCCATCTCTTTCTAACCCGACGCTAAAATGGAAGATATGTTTTTTTCGGTTGTATTGTTCTTATAAAATGAAAATAACGTGAAATTCGGTCTACCATACATTTCGGGCTTCGGTTTCGATGATCTGTACGGGTCCGCAAATGATCCCAGGGACCCGTTTCTCGAAAGTCCCGGTAACTTAACGAGCCCGAAGCCTTGTTTTAAAATCAAAATTCAAAGGATAGGTCAAAACGTTTGAAATTCTCATCTTGAAGGAAAACAGAACAGCTTTACGGTCCCTTTAAGTTAGTGGTACTTTCGAGAAACGGGCCCCAGGACCGCAAATGATCCCCAAATTGGACCGCAAATGATCCCGGACCGGAAATGATCCCAGTGGGGACCGCAGATGATCCCGACCAAAAAATAAG